ATATATATATATATATATATATATATATATATATATATATATATATTATATTTTTATACATGTAATACATATTGAAACAATGAATAAAATAAGAATTTACATTTTACTAAACTCAAGACATATATGTAAAATGTATATTGATTAACAATATTTTTATATAGCTACACATTTAAATTTATAATGTCTCCATTTTAATAATTGAACCTTTAAAATTTGATAACATTTTTTCATCATAATTTTATTTTAGGATTATTATTTTTTTAAAGATAAAAACATAATATGGATTCAAATGACCCTAAAGATAAACAACAACATATAAAATTATATTTAGATAAAAGAAAAAAATTCAATGTTATGTCTACCATGTCAATGTTTTTTTATTAGTACACATTCAACTATCTACTTATTATCATTTCGTTTGTATTTATTTCAAAAGCTTACTTTAAAAAATTGTTTAATGTTTACACATTAATTTTCAACATCGTTTTTTTTAATATTTCAATGTTTTTTTATTAATATATATTGAAAATTACTTACTTTATTCATCATTATATCCTTTTTATTTATGTATATGTCTTATACCTAGTAACATATACATAACTACATTAACAATTTAAAACAATAATATTCAAAATGGAAACAAAAAAAATACAATTTTATAAATTTGCAAACACTTTCTTGATTTGTTTCTTACATCATTCTAGATAAAAGTATTTTACGTATAAATACATACAATTAAGAAAAATTAAATATCCTCCTACTTTTGTTCCTACAAATCATCATACCCAATTAAATGATGACATGTGTCATATTAGTGTATTAAAATATCATTAAATGAGCATTAAATGTTACACATGTCATTATTTCATTGGGTAAGAAGATCTGTTGGAACAAAAAGTAGGAGGATATTTAATTTCTCTACAATTAACTATGGAAACCATTAACTCCTCAAATTTTGGGATAATGCATATCAATTAAAAATATCTGACTTATTTGCCTAGTTTTAAAGATTGTTAGTTGGAAAGTCTAATCTATTTCCTTCATCAAATCTTGAGAATTATCCATGGACAGAAGAAAAATATGGTTACATAGCTAATTTTTTGCTTTATTCCAACAAAACTCCATTTGTGTAATTAAAGGAACCAAATTTCCTTTGAATGAATTTCAAATTAGACTAGCCTATAGAAGAAGAGAATGACAACATTATTACCTTCGTTTTGTGAAACCATTATTTTTAATATTTTAAAAAGATTATTAATGATATGTTCTAGTCTATTAGTATTTCATTATTAATGTGATGTTTATATAATTTTGAAAAACCATTCATTTTTTAATATATTTGGAAAAATTATTATAATTTTTAAAACTTTTTATATATCCTTAATTTTTTAAACATCCTTAATATAATCATTAATTCCTTAAACATCCTTAATACAATCATTAATTCCTTAAAATATGAGAGAGGAAATATATTAAGGGATTGTCGGATTTTTAGGTATTATTATCATTTAAACCATTTAATCATTTCAAATAAACTTGAATTTGAATAGTTAAATAAAGAAAAAGTGAGAATTGTATTCAGAGAAGACAATTGACATTACAATCTAAAGATAATGCATTTAGAAATGTGACATTTGATACAAAGTTATCTTCATTTATTAAAGAATATAGATATAAATATAGATATAGATACAACTTCTCAAACGACAGGAATAAAGAAAAGATGTGACTCAGGAGTAAAATGCAAGCACCAAGATAGGTTATAAATACGAATACGTATACTTTTTTATTTGGAAAATAATTTAAATAACTTTTAATCCGATTACAAAAATTCTAGATAGGATAAATCCAATCCACTGGATACAAGTTAGATCCTCAAAAGACCGATGGTAGGAAATTTTCACTGGATAACTTTTATCCTGAAATGGAATATTACCATTAGACATAAAAAATTAATTTTCAAAATAAATGGTTATATTGATGAAACCATTAGAGTTTAAACACTTTAACAAACGATAAATGATTTCTTCAACAAAGTAATAAATGCAAAACAACAAACAAGACGCGATCAGTTTATATGGCTTACATGATCAGGATTATCGACTATGTTCATGGCAAACACGAAAGATATTTTTATTATTTTTGTCGTTAAAGGCTTCACTGCAATGATACAAGTTATAGGGATTCAAGGAAAAATAAATATAATTTGTTTAACCCCATGGTCTGCCTAGCGGCTGTAGGGTTAAAGGTGAATCAATTTTCACAACTAAACAAAATGAAACATTGTGTTTAAATTATTTGGTTATTTAAACTCTGGTCCAAATTTATGTAAAATCATATGTATTTTTTAACATTGAATTATTATACAAGTTCTCACCTAAATTCTACCTGATTAAACTTAAATCCAATATTGTTTTGGTTGTCGGGATCCACAATCACACATATAGGAATAATAATTAAAGTATATACAAAATTAAAAACGATATTTATGTAGTTTAAGGCCGAATCACTAGCGCAAAACGTATTTAATAGTGTGATGAGATTTTTTTGGTCCAGTTGTAGCATAAAACTCCATCATTAAAACACCCAAAATTTATTTTCGCATCAATAAACCAATAAACTGCACCATTAAAAGCATTTATTAGTGCGGTTTCCCGCACCCAAAAACAATTTGCACAAAAAAACATTGAACTGCACCATTAATCTTTTTCTCTAAAAAATTCGTTCAAATTATTCATTTCTCTTGACATTCTTCCAAATTTCGTTCAAAATTTTCATTTAATCTTCTGTATGTATATAATATTGGGGATACATCCCTTCCTCACACTTCTAGATTTGTCGATTCCATGATTGAAAACGCATGTGATGTATGTTCATCATTATTTATCTTCTTTTCATTAATTGCATTTGAGACTCTCCATTTTTTCTAATTAATCGTAAATGGATGTCATGTTTTAAGTTTTAGCGATGTTGTTTGCTTATTTGGAACCTGTGCAGATGCTTCTTTTTCGGTGATATATCTCAAAGAAAGGATTCAAAGACTTATGATGTTGCTTCAATGACTTTCACTCAATGGGTACGGAGCGAGTTTTTGCAAACTAAGTTTTCAGGTGTTGCCAAATTAAAAAAAAAAAAACCAATGCCGATGAAATGCCATTTGCCAAGAACAAATTTTCATTAGTAAAGAAAAGGAAATTGCGAAGATTGAAACCACTCTTTTTGGAGAAACTAAAATCGAAGGAGGAACAATTGGAACCTCTAAAGAACTTGCAATTGAGGAAAACGAAGTCGATGAAATTAAAGGTGGAAAGTTCAAAAAAAAAATTATATATTGAACCATTGATTGAAAAAACACTCATTGAAAAGACCTAAATACAAGAAAACTCAGAGCTTCAGAAGTTTTGTATCAATGACGAACCTATTAATTGGTGCGGTTATAGTCGTTTTTTTGGTGGAGTTCTAAGATATATTTTCATCATTTTTTGGTGTCATTTTCAACGTTTTTAGGTACGGTTTTATGCCCGCATCATTAAATGGGTGTTTTTTTGATGTGATATTTGTTGGTGCGTTTCAATATTTGCAACAATTAATCAGTTTAAATGGACCATTAAATGCTTTATGTAATGGTGGATATGAGTAGTAACGAGGATCCGACTTTGTTTTTGTACACGATGAT